CTCAATCAACTAAAATTCTTAAATGTCAATTTTTTAGGTTGAGAAGCAATGGTGTTTCAATTATGGTTGCTGCCTTCTCACTTTTGGCAGTAGGTACATCACTTATTGGCACCCTTCTAGCCTTCTCAGAGTTCTTTAAGGAGCAACTTAGAAAGGGAACCTGGCATTCCCCTCCCACAGAAAAGGTAAAACTAAATTATGCACCTTTAATGTCTGTTATCCACAATTGTTTCCTTTTTTTTTACCTATAACACCCACAAAGAATCATGCTATGTTATGAAGAAAGTTCTTTGGACAGGGAAATTGGTGGAGCAGGAATAAAAGTAATGTCACAGCTGTAACAATGGTTGTTGCTCCCTCTCTCTTTGTCTCAACAACGTTTCCGGATGCATTCTCTGCTGCCACAGATATTGCTGTAAGCTGAGAAAGAGGTCTTTTTGTTTGTATGTGTTGGTGGGAAAAATCAATTTTCACCAGAAACAGTATGACATTGGAAGATTAAGTGGTAGTTTGGTTTAAGAAAACATTTCTTTCTTTTTACTTTTAGTTAAAGAAGTGCCATTTTTTTTTCAAAAATTTATACAAGAACAATGAATGTTTTCTGTTCTTATATTCTATATTTACCTTTTCTTTATATAAATTTTTAAAACAAGAAACAAAATGAAAGATAAAAGATCAATTAGGTTCTTGAATATATGAAGCACTTTCAAATTTAGTTTTTGTTTAGATTTCTGATTTAGTCTCTGAATATGTAAAAATGTAACAATTACATCCTAAAGTTTCATGGGACTATTTTGTGATTGAACTGTAATTTTAAGGACCACTTGGACACTAAACAAGGAAGTCTTTTGTCATTAAACTATAATATTTGAGGGCAAATTCACTCTTTTTTACACATTTAGGACTAAAGATGATATTTTGTTCTTTCAATGACTATGGACAATGTCTTATACATCATGGACGTAGTTGATCATTTATCCTAAAACGAAAATAATGTGGCATTTTTGTAATTAAATCTGGAAATTAAAATGCATTATCAACTAAAAATTTATCTAAATGAAGTGGATTTCCTTTAAGTATATGCACATATAACAAATAGTGTTTGTTGATGTTTTATGGTGAAACAGGGGGGGTATTGCATGACAGTGCTTTATGGAGTTCTACCACCAGTAATGGCATGGGCAATGCACAAGAGGGAACCTGAGCTTTATGGTCAAAAAAATTTTTTAAATGCAAATGTAGCACTTGTTGTGGCTGAACTATTTGCATGTGGCATTGTGGTGGATCAAATCCTGCAAGATATACTAGCATTGCACTCATAGCTACCATTTTTTCCTGTTCAAACATCTATCAAAACTCTGCTGTTCGTGCCTGCTTTGCAATAGAATCATGTCACATGTGTGCTGAATTTGAAGAAAAGAGGAGATTGGACATGGTGCCAAAAGTTTGGAAATGAAGCATCTATAAAGGAATATACAACTTTCTCATTGCATATTACATGCAACAAAGGTTGCAAAGCTTGAAGCCTTACTAAATATTTGGTTCTGCTTCAGGATGTACATAACTATTCTTTAATGAATATTAAAATTTACACACTCAAGCATTAGATAAATGTTTGGTTACTGTAATTTTTCTTGAACTTCATACTTCCAAATCTTATATTTTTAAGTCTTTCTAGAAACTTATTTTGTTCAAGTTTGAATAATTTATTTAGTATGTGTTTTAACGTTCTCAACAATAAATTATCAAGATCTATACTATTTAGCAAGTTAAATTACTTTTAAGAAGCGAATAAATCGAAGATAATGATATCTAGTTACACTAAAAATAAATAACATGAATTATTGTTTCATTATTATTTTGACTTTAATACTTTTTAGTCCTTCCTATTTTAGTTAAATTTACTTTTAGTCCATTTAATGTAAAACTAAATTTTTCATTCTTGTAATATGAGAATAACCCAATTTTTATTTTGTGATTATTTTTATAACTGATCAATTATTTTTAAATTATGATAATTAAAGGAATTAATTTTAAATTTAAGAGATCAAAAGTAAATTTAACTTAAATTTAAAAGATTAAATATTCAATCTTTTTAAGTAATTATGAAGTTATTTTATTCTTATAATTTCTTATAAGTAATTCATTACAACTTATTATATGAATCGAGAATATACATTTTATTATCTTTTATTTAAATTAGGTATTAAAAGTTTTTTATTATTTGTTTAGAATAAGAGAAAAATATATTAATTTTATTTTGATTTAAACAGATTACGATTGAGATATTTTTAATATTTAATATTTTATAATATTTTTATTTTATATATAGATAAAATACATGAATAAAAGATATGTCCATTTGAAATATATTTTATATATAATAAATACACATACACAAAATCCTAAAACTTTTCATGAGTGATATCAAGAACTTTGGTTCTTACGGGAAGAATAAAAGAAAGAAGTTCTTTATAAGTCATTATTCCAATTTTTTATGGTGAAAATTATGACCTATGGGCTATGAGAATGCAATCTTATTTTGAAGGATTGAATTTATGGGAAGTTGTGGAAGATGATCACATCATTGATCTATTGGCTAAAAATCTCACCATAGTTCAAATCAGATTTCAGAGAGAAAGAAAAACGAAGAAAACAAAAGTTCAATCATACATGTTTGTTGGTATTTCACAAATGATTTTCACCAAAATTATGACACTAAAGTAAAAAAAAAATTACAATTATTTGAAAGAACAATAGGAAGGGGATGGAAAAATTCGAAGTATGAAATTTCTAAACTTGATAAGGGAATTTGAGATACAAAGAATGCAAGAGTCAGACACAATTAATGAATACTTAATCAAATTGTTGGGTATTGCTAATAAGATAAAACTATTAGGTAAATAATTTTTTGATTCCATAATAGTTGAGAAAATTTTAGTAACTATGTGATATGAAAAATGTATTGCTTCATTGAAAAACACAAATGATTTGTCTAATATTACTTTAGCAAAAATGTTACATGTTTTACAAGTACAGGAACAACGAAGATTGATGAGAAGAAATCATGCTGTTGTTGAAGGTTCTTTATTATATATCTCCAAGCTAAGAACAAAAAAGGTAACATATCACATGTCTTCTATGTTTGTCCTTATTACAAGAAACTCACACAATAATTATTAGAGGCTCAGTGTGAAATGTCGCAAATGTGTTCAATTATGACATATAGAAAAGATATGGAAATCATAACCAAAAGAAGCTGTGTGATCAATTGAGACATATAGAAAAGATATGTAAATCACAATTGAAAGAAGTCATCAAAGTTATAGAGGATGAAGTAGAAGAGGAACTTCTCATTGCATCAACATGCTCTACAATAAAAAAATGTACATGTTAACTTATAGATAATCATTGTACAAATCCAATTACTCATGATTGAAAACTTTTTAAAGAGCTCAACAAATATGTTATTTATAAGGTGAGAATTGACAATGAAGAACAAATAGACGTGAAATATATGAGAATAGTTGTTTTTAAAAGTCATTCGAGTATCAAATTATTTTTTCATGTTTTATATGTTCCTTATATTAACCAAAATTTGCTAAGTATTGCTCGATTATTAGAGAAAAGTTATAAGGTATCTTTTGAATACAAAATTTGTATGATTAAAGATATAGATAACCTAAAAATATTCAAAGTTTACATGAAAGAAAAAAAATTTACTTTAGATTTGATGAAATAAGATTTGACTACAAATGAAGATATAAAAGAAAAGTAAAAGAAAAAGCATGATAGATATTTCTTGAAGAAACTTGATATCAAGGATGAAAATAAATATGTAGATGAAAAACCAGTTTCCAACGTCTATCAAAGGATTAATGGTACTACCATGAAGTTTGAAAGAAATAAAGAAGATGAAGTTGATAAAAGAAGAAATATATTGATGAAGAAAGTGAAATTAAATGAAGTTGTGATTTCATACAAAAAAGAGGATGACAAGAAATACAAGAAAAAAAGAGGAAGAATTTCAAGCAAAATGAAAGAAAGAATATCAAATTCAAATAAACAGAGAGGAATATTGAGAATATATGTTTTATTATCTTTTATTTAAATTAGATATTAAGAGTTTTTTATTATTCTTTAGAATAAGAGAAAAAAAATATTAAGTTTATTTTAATTTAAATAGTTATGATTGATATATTTTTAATATTTAATATTGTCATATTTTTACTTTATATATACACAAAATACATGAATAAAAAATATGTCCATATAATATATATTTTATGTATTAGATATACACGTACACACAACCTTAAAAATTTTCATAAATATAAAAGAAATAAATAAAAAGAGAAGACATAAAAAAAACTTAGACTAAATGAAATCGAAGTTTGATCTAACCAAAAGAAAATCATTATGGCATTGCTAGAGATTGCTCTTCAAGCATTTTATCGAAAGATACATGGATTTTGTACATATATCTCCACAATTTTATTGAATTATAAAATGCACTGTAAATTTCAATACTTTATATACATTTCATTTGATAATGTAGCTATAATGCATTTGGGTTTTGAGCATTTTGGAATATTAGCTTAAATCAATAATGGTTCATATGGTCCATAAGCTTTTGCATAACATTGTAATTGACCACTCTAATCTATTTATCCTTTGCATAAAAAGATTATCTACTGATGTGGCATCTTGAAATTTTACCTTATCTAATTTTTTGTAAACTTTCTTTTTTAGAGTGTCCTTCACAAAAATTGTGTCCTTCACAAAGATTATCTACTGATGTGGCATCTTAAAATGAAGGACACAATTTTTGTGTGAGTAACCACATTTTTTGCAAACATAAGAATTAAAGTTAAATTCTTTTTTAACCTATTGAGTTGTCTTGTTAGGATAAAATTACAATTAACTAAAGTTTCAAAATAGACCGGTGATAATTAATCTTATATCGTAATGAACATGAATCGGGATACTTAACGAATAGTTTACGACTCTACTGATCCACTATGCAGCTCTCTTTTTATCAATTCCAAAATGTCATAGACCTGTGAAAGATTATAACAAATAAAAAATAATTAAATAAAAATCATGTTACACCAAATTTAAGAATTGAGACATAAAGCAAGAATGTGAACTTTTCACCTCAAAGTACGGCGGCAAAGCTGGTGCATGCTGACGAAGGGCTGCATATATCTTCTCAAGTAATGTTAAAAGTGCATCAACTTGATCACCAAGAAGATCAACCTAATTACCAGAAATATTAGGACAGTTTGGTTTGAGAAAACTTTTTCTGTTCCTGTTTTAATTTTTTGTTGTACTTGCAAAAGTGCCATCTTGTTTTCATTTAGTTGCTTGCCTTCAAAATCTTGTATCGGAAACAGTGAAAACAACTTAATGTTTTCTATTTTAATTTTCTTTTTTCAATGTTTCCTATATAAACATGTGAAACAAACGAAAACAGAAAATTCATTTCTCATGAATGTACAGAGTTTGAGATTATGCTACAGACCTCAGCTTCGGCCTTTTGAAGATTCTGGCACCTTTTAATGAAGGCCTTCTGATAAAGTAATTCCTTGTTTCTCAAGTAACCAACCAACTCAATAACAGGTTCCAAACAATCTTTCATATTCTCCAATCTGTATGCGGGAAGGAAAAATTGGATAATAGGTAAAATGGTATGCATGTGAAAAATATTGATGAGCAATGATGGTGAAATACCTCACAGTCATCATCTCAAACTTCTGGCATATCATTGCCCCAAATTCTGCAAATGTTAGTAAAAGATTCAAAAGGGGCATGAAAGCAGATGAAGACAGCCTCAGTTGACCTTCTTCATTATTTGACAGTTGATTATGAAAACTGTCTGAATCACGTAGACTGTGCCCTAAGCTGGTGCCTAACTGCCTCAAAAGTGCCTTGCCTATACCTAATTGTTGCAAGACATTTTCTACTTTGCTGGTCAGTGAAGAGAATGTTTGTTCTTCCCCAGTTATCAATTCTTCAAATATTTCATAATCATGTAGGTCTCCACGTTCTGAACCCAAGTCTAGTTGCCTGCATTGTTCCTTGATCTCACACTTCGCACTTAGCATCAGATTTTCCTCTGCCTCAAAACAACTAAGTAGTGACTCTAACAACATAATTGTGAAGTTCTCTTCTCCCTGAGCTCTCCAGACTTGATTTAACATCATAGAAGAGGTGGAACAATTATCTTCTGTGGTATTGTCTTCAACCAATGATTTAACTTCCATGGTGAAGAAAAAGGCGTCATTCAATGTCTCAACCATGACAACTTGGTCTATCTTCTCTCTGATGTAATCCTCCATGTAGTAGTTATCTAGACCCCTTTCCCATTCCTCAAGCATGGCTTTGAATACAACCATACACACATCTTCCTTCAGAAAACTTTCTATGGTTACAAACTGTAACTGATCTAGAAGTTTTTTCTTGTTTTCTTTATGCTCCTGTGAAGCAAAACATGCAATATTGACAAAATTTTTCAATGTTTCACCGAAGACAATCTTATGTATCTGTTCTGTCATGACACTGTCTACTTCGCAATCTACCATCTTTTTGTTGAACTCATCCACAGTTTTCCGAAAGATAAGCATGCATATATCCTCACTTATGGTGCTATTTATTTTTTTATCTACTTGATTACTGCATTGTCTTTTAATTAAGGAAAATTCTTGATTTGCTGCCTCAAACAAGGAAATCAAATTTATGTCATCTCTAATCTTCCTTTCAATTGTTTGTTTTTCTATGTTCTCATTCCACTCATTGATTACTTCCCTTAAGTAGTACTTATATACATGCTCCTGTATTTGCTTCTCCAACTCAAAATTGAAGAATTTGCTATTGAATTCTTCTGCTTGATCATCTATAGAACCACACACATTTTCTGATTTCAAAATTTGCACTGTGTTATATTCCTTTTCTATTTGTGACACCCTTTTGAAGTCCTCCTGATTTTTATTTTTAGCATCACTGATTTCTTTTACCTTTTTTTCATCACTTCTCTGCCTTTCAACATCCTTGCTAGTATGAATCTCATCTACCTCTGATAACTTCCTCCGTGAAAACGGTTCCGTGTCATTAATACATCTTTGCTTAAAAAGAGATTCACTAAGTTTAACATTCCGATATATAAAATTATCCAATTTTTCAGTGACAACATAGATTCTTTCTTTCATACGATTTATTTCCTTTCTTCTCCTGGCATGCGAGGCCTTTCTTTCATGTAATATTCCATACTTACTCAAATTCAGTTCTTCACTCTTTCGGCGAATAATGGATTCATGACTCTTTATCAACTTCGCAACATACTTGCTCCCATCTTCATTTTCCTCATATTCTGCAGACTTTTCTGTCTCTTCCATCTTTTGAGGGAACGTGTTAGGAATTTCAGATCTTCCTTCAGGCGAAGAAGGCCTCGTTGGGGAAGAAGGCTTTACTGGGGAAGAAAGCGATGAACAGTCAGAATCCTCAGGATATGCGTCATAGAAAGTGGAAAATTCATGCTGCAAACTTGAAAACTCATTCATCAAGCGTGGCCAGTGCTCCTTCCAAACTTTGACAACATGATTCTCATCCTTCTTCAGTTGTGCTTCAAAGTTCTGTTGAAAATTCCTTATGGAACTTCCAATTGTTATAGACATCACATCTTTTTCAATTGCCAACTTCCATTCCCTCTCTTTTGGCCTCATCTCACACAAGGAAAGAGCAGATTGCATCTTCCCAAAAGCAAGATCCATAGTCTGCTTTAGTATCTCCACGTCAGAACCCATCTCCTCAACCTTTTTCCTCCCAACACCATTATTTTGTACCTTACTAAACATGTCATTTTGTGGCTCAAGCTTTGGTTGATCCTCACTAGTCCTCAACTCACCATCGCCATCACTATGCTCATTTCTTGTTGTTTGATCATTCTCAGCGTTGAATCCACTGGATTCAACCTCATGGCTGACACCCAAAGAAACCAATTGTCTTTCTTTCAGCTCTAAAGCATGCCTAAGTTGCAACTCATTTTCTAAACTCTGTGTCAACTCTTTGTCCTTCTCCCCAATGGCTAATTCAGATTCCTTTAAACGCCATTGAAGGCGATCTTTTATGTCTCTCAAGTCATTAAGTACCTCTTCATGGTTGCTCTCAAGAAAGCTGCTTTCAGTCTCTGCATGAACAATGCTTAGACAACCTTCAAGTTGCATCACTGCTAACTCATAGAACTTTGATATCTCATTCAACCGCTCGAGGACTCCTGTTTTCCCCTTCATCTTCTCCTGAGCTTTGTTCATGGCATAGTGCACTATCCACATCATGGTAGAATCTGCCAAAGATACATCATATCTTCCATCCATATATCCAAAAATCCCATCCATTTTGCCAAGAAAAATACACTTCAAAAAAACCCAGATGTAACTTTATTTCAATAATAACAATGTAGTGATGAATAAATGCTACAGAAAATTCATCCAACAAGGTTAAAATACAGAAACTAAAGGCAAGTCAAATAGAATGTAAATATGATCTGAAATTTCCACTAAAAGCGGGTAATTTTGACCCTTTCAGGAACATTATGTGGTAATTGTAAGCATGTCTCTATGCATTCTTTAAGGAGCATTATGCGTGCATTCTTTGAAATATTTATAGGTATGTGGCTCTTTGCATTTGTTTATTTTCTTCATTTTCTTGGTCACAGGAAGAGAAGAAAAATTACAGCTCAAGAAAATGTAAAGAATTTTCTTCAATGCTTTTATGTTTGAGCCGTTCATTAGATCGATAAAATTGTTACTTTGCAGTATCCAATATCACGGCCAAAATAGACATATAAATAGATTTTTGTAGTTATCTTAAATATTTACAAGACAAAAATTAATGATGATTCGAGTTATTAAAACTTAATAAAAAAAGGTAAAAAAATTACCAATTGCATTTGAAAATAATTCTTCTTAAATTTCAAATCATGTTTGGACGTGTTAAAAATAAAACTGACTTTGAATTACTTAGAAGTTAGTTTTTAACTAGATGAATACCATTTATAGAGAATAAGTAGCAAATAAGATTGACAAAATATTAAAAAGAAAGGTTTGTTATAATTTTAGTCTTTTTAATTTAATGTATGAAAAATTTTGGGGTTTATAATTTTAATTACTCATTTTGGTTCATATATTTTAAAATAAAACACTTTTGATCTTATTCAATTTTGGTCCACGCAGTTAAATTTTTTTTTTTTTTTTACTTTAATCCTTTGTTATCATACCAACTATCACTTTCTAATGAAATGAAGACCATGATTTGTTAGTCTTCCACCCCTCATATCCTCTATAGAATCAATCCAATTCAGAATACTTAAGCATAAGTTTGTAGCATATTACTTCGCTTTCATTTCCTATGTTTACTATTTAATTATAAAATTCCCACGTTGTTGTAATTGGTTGTTTCTTGTATCCTAAATTTATACAAGAAATCTGAAAATAACCTCTTTTGCTTTCAATTTCCTGTACAAATACTTAAAACCAGAAATTAGATTGCAAACAACATAATTATTTTGTAATTTAGAAAAGTGAAAACAGGATATAAAAACACAAGTAAAAATCTTTAATCTTGCAATAAGGGAAAGAGAGAGACACAGTAGAAAATTTAAAGGCAAAAACACCCCATGTAATCAGTCTATTACATAATGTACATTCATTGAACAGTATTAAAATAGAGACTATATGACTAAACTGCCCAGTATTTACATTGAACATGTTTAAACTAGTTTCTCCAATAAGGATTTTTACTAGAAAAAAAAAATATCTCCTTCAAATGTTCAAATTAACTACGCATAAATAATTTTGTAGAAACTCTTTCCTATAGTTTCTCTACAAAGTTTATTTCATTTTATTCTTTTCTTTTTATTTTATCTCCTACAAGTTCTTGGGGAGAAGAAACTTGTCCTTTCATATCACCATGAGCACTGAAAGAAGAAAGAATAAACTCCTATGCAAGAACATTCATCACTTATTTTTAAGAAAGAAAAAACATTCTATGCTAGGTAACCTATATTAATTAATCTATTTAATCCCTTTGGCCTTTAGGAATCACATGGCAGAATATTATACAAATATGCTTAAGTCTAAATAATTATAAGAAAATCAATAACCAGCTGTTCAAAATTTGATCACTGTACTTTGCACAAATTGACTCCAAGAGCATGAGGATAGATCACAAGCCAAGCCATGTAGTTCCTTATTTCTCATCAACACAAGCTTCAAGAGAAAAACATAGTGTTATGATCACAAGAAGTTCAAAATAAAAAAAGCAAGCTCATGCACTTTGACATGAAAGGAAAGGAAAAGGAAAAGGAAAAATGGCAAATTAACCATGCTGATTATCCAGAAATAGAATTATTGATAATGCAGTTTGAGGTGGTAAAGCTATACATTGAAATAAAAAGCAAAGACCAATTTTATTATCCTTTTATATATAGCAAATTGACAATATATTATCTTTCCATAGCAAAGAGCAAGAACACACATGTGTGTATAATCCAAAATAAATTGTGTAAATCTTTACATAAAATTGAATTAGTAATAAACACAAGTCCCTTACAGCAAATATTAGTTATATGATCAACTCGTCAAGAAAAGTTACAGGCCTCAAGCAAATTAGTACTTACTGCAGAACTACCATCCACAGAATAACAAATATAAAATATTTCAATTTTGAAATTAGATAAACGAACTACTGATGTTAAAATTCAATCCTAAATCATATAAATCCCAGTAGAGCCATGAAAGTGATATTAAATTAAATCCTAAACAATATAAATCATCATAAAGCATGGAAAGGGACTTTTTATTAGATCCACAAGAAGAAAGGAGGTAAATATAATTCCCAAGAAAAGAAGTGAGAGGGCTTAAGAGAATAGTATGTTAATATCAAGGTTATTAATATCGGATAGTGGCATGGTGCAACCTAACCTTAAAATGGTATGGTGGTTCACCGTGAAAGATTGTGGATTCTAAAATAGAAGGACTTGTTCACTTGAAATTTAGGAAACATACATCATTAAGACATAAATAGCTAAGGAGAACAGAGGATGTAGCAATGTGAGACTCCAAAACAGAGGTTGCAACTTCTTAAATAAAGGTTGAAGCAGTCTAAACAGACGGTGAAATACAAGAAAAAGTTGCATGCAAGAGGATGAAGCATAAGTTAGATAATAGGCCCTGTTAGATATGATTAGATATTAGTTGATATTGTTTGATATTGTTGAGATATTGTTAGATATTGTTAATCACAATATCAAATAATATCTTTTTATTTACCCTATTTGTATTCTGTTACTCTTTTGAGGATTACCTTTCTTTATTATAAATACACTGCCCTATGTGTGGTAAATACATAAGGGAAATTAACCCTATATTCAACATGGTATCAAGAGCTTAAGGTCTCTTGGGATTTTTTTTCGGCTCTGCCACTGAACCTGCAGCTGTCGCCGCCTCCATCGCCGCCGCCGTCGCAACCACCGTCCGCCGCCGCCGCCGCCGCCGTCGCCAGAGTAGCAGTTCGGACCGCCGAGCACAGGGTTTTGCTCGCCTCCTCCGTGCGACCTCCACCGTGGAAGTTTCGCGGTCATCGGAGCAGCCACGCTCCCTCACGCGCCTCCCGAAGCCGCGCCACCTTCTCCCGTTCCGCCGCGCGTGGCGGCGCGTCTCGCCGCCGTTCAGGCCGCCGATCTTTGCGCCGGCGTCGCCTCCTTCTCCTCTCTCTGGATCTGTCCTCGCTGCTCCAATCAGACCTCTTTGGTGTTTTAGGGTTTTTCTCTCTCTTCCTCCATGGCATCTTCCGCTGCCACTTCCAATTCTGAAGTTACCTCCGTCGACTCCGGTGGGTCTAAGCAATCTGTTTTTACTAATTATGTCAATGTGAATTTACCCATTGATAAATTAGATGGTACGAATTATGCAACTTGGGCATCCGATATTAGACTTTGGCTTGAGAGTCGGGGGTATGTTGATCATCTTACTACCAAGGTAGATGATGTTCCTTCCAATGATCGTGTCCGTTGGAAGAAAGTTGATGCTCATATATGTATGGTTCTCAAGAATATCATCCAATCTTCTTTAAAACAAATTTTTCGATCGTATGGCACATGTTATGACGTTTGGGAACAAGCCAAATTATTATACACCAATGACACTCAACGTCTTTATGGTGTTTGTTACAATCTTCTTGATGTTATTGCTCCTCGAGATAAGGATCCTGTGGCGGATTATGTGGGTAAGATCCATGCTCTTCTCCATGAATTTAATGAGTTATTACCCCCGCCTCGACTCCTGCCCAAGAATTAGAGCAACGATCAAAGTTTTTCATGGTTTTGATGTTACACGGACTTGCTGATAAATATGCCCCTGTTCGTGACCAGATTTTGGGTTCCCCTGTTACACCCAGTTTTACCGCTACCAGTTCCTCCCTTTTGCGGGTGCCATGTAAACCTCTCAATATTCCCCCTGTAGTTTCTAATGATTCATCTGCCTTGGCCTCTCACCGTGATGATCGTAATCGCTCTCACAAGCCAGGCAAAGGGCGTGTCAAGTGTGACCATTGTGGCAAACTAGGCCACAAAATTGACAAATGTTATGCTTTACATGGTTATCCTCGCCGATCTGCTGCAGTTGCTCAGACTGATTCTTCCGCACAATCCTCTGCTGTGGATCCTCCTTCGTCTGTACCTTCGGACAAATCGATATCTTCAATGGTATGAGGATCGAAAGCCCTCCAGTTCCACTACTTCGTTGCCCACACAAGTACATCTTTTGCTTGGTCCGACTCACTCTTCTTCTATTGGCCCTTGGGTTCTTGACTCGGGCGCCACCGATCACATCACTTGGTAACAAATCCTTATTTTCCTCTTTCACTTCTTCTCATAATTTACCCTCTGTTACAATGGCTAATGGGTCTACAACTTTAGCTCATGGTGTTGGAACGGTTACTCTTTTTCCCTCGTTGTCCATTGATAATGTTTTGTATGTACCCGGGTCCCCCTTTAACTTATTATCCATTAGCCGTCTAACTCGATCTCTTGATTGTGTTATCTCTTTTACCAAAACTTCTGTTTCCCTACAGGACCGGAGCTCGCAAAGAGTGATTGGCACCGGATGTGAGTCACATGGACTTTATTATCTTCAACCTTCTCCACATGTTGGCACAGTTATGGAGTCTCCTTCTCTCCTTCATGCTCGGCTTGGTCACCCCGGTCTGCGCAAATTACGAGCAACTTGTTCCCGGCTTATCCCAGCTTGTCCAATTTGGTGTGTGAGTCCCGTCGATTAGGCAAACATAGTCGTACTTCCTTTTCTCGTAGTGTTTCCCAGCGTGCCTCATCCCCCTTTGCCTTAGTTCACTCTGACATTTGGGGACCCAGTCGTGTTAAGTCTAATTTAGGTTTTCAATATTTTGTTACTTTTATTGATGATTTCTCTCGTTGTACTTGGTTATTTTTAATGAAAAATCGTTCTGAGTTGTTTTCTATATTCCAAAACTTTTATCATGAAATTAAAAATCAATTTGGTGTCTCTATTCAAACTTTTCGAAGTGATAATGGCCGTGAATATCTTTCAAACTCGTTTAAACAATTTATGGCTTCTCATGGCATTCTTCATCAAACTTCCTATGCTTATACTCCTCAACAAAATGGGGTGGCTGAACGCAAGAATAGACACCTTATTGAAACAACCCGTACTCTTTTAATTCATGGTGAGGTTCCTCAACATTTTTGGGGTGATGCTGTTCTTACTGCCCGTTATCTTATTAATCGTATGCCCTCTTCGGTTTTAGATAACAAAATTCCCCATTCTATTTTATTTCCTCATGACACTCTCCATCCTTTACCTCTGAAGGTTTTTGGGTCTACCTGTTTTGTCCACAATTTTGATCCTGGTCATGATAAGTTATCTCCTCGATCACACAAATGTGTTTTCTTAGGATTTACTCGATCCCAAAAAGGATACAAGTGTTTTTCTCCTTCTCTTAATCGCTATTTTGTGTCTGCCGATGTCACCTTCAATGAGTGTTCCTTTTACTTTAAGGACCCTTCCCTACCTGCTGAGTCTCCATCTGCTACAGTTCCCATTCCCGTTCTCATTGATCCTTATGTTGAGGACCATCCACCATTAGCCCCTCCTCCTCCACCACCCCTTCAGGTTTATAGTCGCGAGACCTCGCCCACAACGAGACGCCACATGACTCACTCCCAGTGCCAAATACTCGCCTCCTCCGGTTCCAGTCCACGAGTCCGACCTTCCTATTGCCCTTCGTAAAGGTACGCGTTCTACTCGTAATCCTTCTCCACATTATACCGCTTTAAGTTATCATCGAATTTCTTCACCATTTTATACCTGTCTCTCGTCTATTTCTTCCGTGTCTATTCCTAAATCTGTCTCCGAAGCCTTAGCCTACCCTGGTTGGCGTCGAGGCCATGCTAGATGAACTCGGTGCTCTTCGGACTAGTGGAACACTGGACGCTTGTCCCATTACCATCCGGAAAATCTGTTGTTGGTTGCGGGTGGGTCTTCGCTATCAAGGTTGGTCCTGATGGTACTATTGATCGCCTCAAAGCTCGCCTTGTAGCCAAAGGCTATATCCAAATTTTTGGGTTGGATTATGGTGATACTTTCTCTCCGAGTGGCAAAGATGGCTTCGTTCGTTTATTCATTGCCATGGCTCGCTATTCAACAATGGCCTCTTTATCAACTGGATGTCAAAAATGCTTTCTTGAATGGCGATTTGCAAGAAGAGATTTATATGGAGCAACCTCCGGATTTGTTGCTCGGGGGAGTCTTCCGGATTAGTATGTCGTCTTCGCAAATCTTTATATGGCCTAAAACAGTCTCCTAGGGCCTGGTTTGGAAAATTTAGCGAGCGTTATTCAACAATTTGGCATGACTAGAAGTGAGGCGAGACCACTCGGTCTTTTACCAGTCACTCGAATGCTTGGATGTATCTATTTGATAGTGTATGTCGATGACATTGTTCTTACAGGTAGTGACCATCATGGCATCTCTCGGATGAAACAACACCTTTGCCACCATTTTCAAACCAAAGATCTTGGCAAACTCGAGATATTTCTTGGGTATTGAGGTAGCACAATCTATCGATGGCATTGTTATATCTCAAAGAAAGTATGCATTGGATATTTTGGAGGAAGCTGGGTTGATGAATTCAAAGCCTGTTGACACACCCATGGATCCTAATACCAAACTCTTGCCAAATCGGGGGAGCCAATGTCGGATCCTCGAATAGTATAGAAGATTAGTTGGAAAATTAAATTATCTTACGAGTTACTCGCCACGACATTTCCTTTGCGATCGGTATGGTGAGTCAATTCCTCAATTCTCCTTGTCAAGATCATTGGAATGCGGTCATCCGTATATTGAAGTACATCAAAAAGTCTCCTGGAAAAGGTTTGGTGTATGACTCCCATAATCATACAAGAGTTGTCTGCTATTCGGATGTCGATTGGGCAGGATCTCCCTCCGATAGAAGATCTACATCTCGGGTATTGTGTTTCCATTGGTGGTAACTTGATCTCATGGAAAAGTAAGAAACAAAGTGTTGTGGCAAGATCCAGGTGCAGAGCGAGTATAGAGCTATGGCCTCGGCTACCTGTGAACTTATTTGGCTCAAGCAATTGCTTAAAGAGCTACAATTTGGAGATGTCACTCAAATGACACTAGTGTGTGACAATCGAGCTGCTCTCCATATAAGCTCTAATCCTGTCTTTCATGAGAGAACTAAACACATTGAGATTGACTGCCATTTTATTCGGGAAAAGATTATGTCCGGAGACATCAAGATCGAGTTCGTTAACTCATGTGATCAATTAGCGAGATATTTTCACTAAGTCTTTACGGGGACCTAGGATGGATTATCTTTGTACCAAGCTAGGCACATACGATTTGTATGCTCCGAGCTTGAGGGGGAGTGTTAGATATGATTAGATATTAGTTGATATTGTTTGATATTGTTGAGATATTGTTAGATATTGTTAATCACAATATCAAATAATATCTTTTTATTTACCCTATTTGTATTCTGTTACTCTTTTGAGGAGTACCTTTCTTTATTATAAATACACTGCCCTATGTGTGGTAAATACATAAGGGAAATTAACCCTATATTCAACAGGCCCAATGGACTTTTATGCTTTGTCTTGTATTACTAAGGATAGTTCAGTCCTCTTTTATTTGTTGACTTCATATCCCCTTGTCATTCTATTTTAATTAAATTTGCATCTAATAGAACAAGTGCCTAATACTACTTTTTTCTACTCTTTTATCTTTGCATTCTTAGCATGGTATAAAGAGCAAGTTTGATTCAGGGTATTGAATCTAAGAGTGTTGTTAGTTTGAGTCATTATATTTTCTCATCAAGCTGCTTTTGTAAAATCACGACTTTATATTCATTTATCACCGGATCAATGAGATTTTAACAGCGACTTAGTCACTGGTATTTCTTTGTTTTCAATGGTCGGATCAGTAAGAAAAGGTCTGGCTCAAAAGTTATTTGGTTTCAAACAGTATCGAATCTCTTTCTGGTTTCTTCATCTAACTGTAAATGAATTTTGCAGTCACTATTATAGCTGTCCAGTGAGAAATAACAACCGTTCTCTTATCGCTCTTGCTCTTGTCACTCAAAATAACAACTCTCTTGGTTTTGATGCCATGATAAGATGCAAATGCAAAGATAAAAGAAAGAAAAATAGTAGTAGGACACTTTCGACCAGAAGCAAATCAATTATACAATAGCATAATTTGAGGGAATGTAAAGCAACAAATAAGACAGGATTAAACTAACCTTAATAAAATAAGACAAAGTATAAAAGCTCATTGGGCCTTTGTCTAAGAATGCAGTATTAAAAACAGACGTTATGTCAAACCCCACAAATAGTAAACATCTTCAATTGAACTAAAACAAAAGAGTGAGGAAGAGAAAAGTAGGCAGGAGGAGACACAAGCAAATTAAGGATTGTAAGAAATGTCCCTTTGTTCCTCATTGCAGAAACTTCCCAATGGTTCCTTTGTCTAGAATTTAAATGCATTTCAAATTTAAACAAGTTTCAAAAGTTCTATCCACAAAAACTCACAATGTTGATTGACTTTGAAGACTAGAAAATCTTAAGAAAAACTTCCCAAATCACGGTGGCTTCCTTTGGATATTAAGCTCCTAAATTTAAATAAGACATGCTGATGTTTTCACTTCCACCAACCCAATTTAGTGTATGTTTGGTTTTTTGTTGGATCAAATCAAATCAAACATGAATTCTTGATCAACATCTAAGCTGAAGTTACTTTTGAGTAACTTCAATTTTTCACATCTGAAACATGGATCCGAGGCTTCAAACACTAAACCAAACATGGACTTTGACTATCGATAAATAAATTCCTTTCTATCTTTCTCTTATCATACAACTACAAGGGTGATCCGACAAGAGAACTCAAATTATAATCACAAGGACTTTGATTTCTGCTTCCTTGAGTAATCAACACTGAATAATCCCTTATAGCTACAACACTATACCACATATTTACAATGCATCCGCAGCTGATTTCGACATCAATTAACCCAAACAAATATCTCATCTACAAAACCCCCCACAATTGTGAAAGTTTTACATTAAATCAACACTTTAATCTTAGAAATTATGAGATACCTAATTCAACCCTACAAAACCGGTTCGGTATGGTGAGAATTGTACTTACCTATATACTATTAGTTGTATCTTTAGGCGATATAAGGGGATTTTTATGAGTTGGCTCTCGTACCATCTTAAAAATGATAAGATACTTACCTCAACCTTACAAAATCAGTTTGGTACGATGACAATAATACTTATCCTATGTACTACTATAATGTCATCGTATCACTAGTAGACGTGGGATTTCATCACTTTCTCTTTCTACACTTTCTCTTTCTATTGTATAATTTTTTTTTTTCTAAATCGTTCCCTCGTAAGCCAACACCCAAAATCAAAACTAAAACAAACTTCTTCATTAAGTAATCAAAAGAAAGAAACTAGTGATGCAATTCCTTCAGTAAAATAAAAATCTTTACCCGCAATCCAAAAACACCAATCGAAACAACAACGATTATCTCCTCAGAGCAATTAAAATTCTACACAAACAAAACAATGAATGAGAAACCAAACTAGAAAGCAAAAGGGCTTGGAGACCAACTCCAAGGGAGAAACACCATCAAAATCATATAAAAAACTTGCATCTTCATTTTCTCCTAATCAAAATTCACCAATTACCTCGCAGCCAGAAAACAACAACCCTTTTCAATACCTTCTACCCCAGATAAAAATCCCCACAAAAGAGAACTTTTTACCAGCAAACCACAACCCAGTTGAAAGAAACACCGATTATCCACTCAAAGCAATTAGAAATCCAAACAAACAAGAAATAACTGAGAAACTAAACCAAAAAGCACAAGGGTTATAAAGTTTGTTAGTTAGTTACCACCACAGCAAAAGCAACAGTAGCAGCAAGAGAGAACCAGCAACAGCTCCTGGAAGAGGGAAGCTACCGAGCCAGCTTCACAATTGAGGAGGTTGGGTGCTTCGCCTTTGCTATGATCCTGGTTATCATTTTCCAGAAGCTTCTGTTCCGTCGAGGGTTGTTGGTCCTTTTCCATTTCCATTCTCCGGAAGTTCCATTCGAGTCTTTTGAGGTAAGAATGCTTGAAGGAATCTCGGAGATTCTTTGTCGGCCATAGATGCATGTCTGAATTGAAATAAAGTAACGGGAAGTGGGGTTTGGGAATTTTGAGTCTTGCTATTGAAACTCAAGCTTCAGTTGAAGATGGAAGCAAGATTAGAAGAATGGATAAAGAAAATTACAGGTTTTTTTTTTTTTTTTTCTACCTTCCAATCATATTCCATTGGCAAAGTTATGGGTTTATTAATTTTAAAACATTAATAACCACTGAATTAAACAAAGAGAATTTTTCCTTGTTGTTTTTATGCTTTAAATTTGAGGATAAAACTTAATAGTTTATTCATTTCAATTTTTATATATTATCTATTATTGTAACAAGTTTTAATAATTAAAAATATTCTATATATAGCTTTTAGAATGATTAATATAAAAACCAACTATTATATTTTGTCGCTAATGAATTTTTATTTCTGCTTATTGTCCCAAAAGTGGTTTAAATAGTACTTTGAACATTATATTAAAATGTTTTATATATTTGGTTTAGAGATCGAAAATAAACTAAAAAATCTAGCGTTATCAATTTTTTTTATAATATAAAATCAAAGTTAGTTTATTTTACAATCATATTTACATGATAATATTTCTACTATAATAAGTTGTAATGTATTTAATATTATATTAGGGACAATATTTATTAGTTATATATGTATAATTTTTTTCACTAACAATACATACTATTCAAATGCTTGAATGCATTTTTATTTTCTAAATTCGTGTATATTTGACTCATAAATTAGAATGAGAAAACATAATGTGTATTTAATGTTTCAACTTTAGTAATGTAACAATTTTATTTTTAAAAGATGTTTCAATAGGTTAAAAAATGAAATTATATATAAATTACCATTAACATGGACTCTTAAGTGATATGAGACATAAAAATATATACGGGAATATAATCCTTCAATCGAGGACTAAGTGTTAAACATACAAGGATATGAATCTTGTAGATTTAGATGATGATTCAAGAACAAAGGACTTAGATATTTGAAGACTTGTAATCTTATGTAATAACTCTGTTTTTATGTTTTTGAGTCTGTAATATTAGAGTCCAAGATAGCCAGCACATAGACCATCCTTTAAAAGCTCTAAAAACTCATTTTTATCAAAAATACACTATGATAATCGATTATTGTTGCCGCCGTCAAAAAAGGCGGTCAGAGCGACGCAATGGTTTCCGACTTCCACTTCGTGTTTTTAAAATGTGACGTTATAACGCCTTTAGGTTGTCCGATAACCGAGCTGGATCTAAGGACGAGGTTTTCAAAAAGGATTCTTATGGAGTCGCCACGAATGTTTTTACCAAAAACATCGAAAAAGGAAAAAAGAAGGCATTGGTTTAAAAAACCAACCTTGACCATTTATAACCAGAGTCGGGTAAGGGAGTTAGTTACGTGTGGGGAAGGTATTAGCACCCCACTACGCCCCTTTCGGGTTCTCTAATGATGGGCCGTTTATTTCATAAATAAACTTTAAATGACGCTTTTACCCTTTTATTTGCGAAATTAAGAAAATAGTGACTACATGACCCTAGCAGCTAATATACGTATAAATGTAAATAGAAAGCGGTAAAAGAGAGGGAGAAAGTGTGGAAACCTTCGAAGCAAGCTTTCTTGATTAATATTCTTGAGATATGACACTTTTTGGCAATCCTTTACTCTATAACGTTGATCGCTCTTTCTCGCAATGCTATAAAATACCCTCTAAGAACACTCAAAAAACTCTGGAAATGCTTCGGAGGGCCTCTAGAAGAAGAATTTGAAGAAATGGTAGAAGGAAAAGTTGAAGAACTGTGTGAAATGAAGGGGAGAGCGCCCTCCATTTATAGGAATTCACGCCTGTCAGGTCGAGACGACCGTCTCGCCAAACGGGACCGCGGTCTTGCCTTTGACAAATGGCGAGACGGCCGTCTCGCCAATCGAGAAGGCGGTATCAATTTGTCAAATGGCGAGAAGGTCGTCTCGCCAAACGGGAAGACAGTCTCGCCATGGTAGGTGGCGAGACGGCCGTCTCGCCAAACGAGACGGCGGTCTCACCCTTTACTGATGGCGAGACGGCGGTCTCGCTAAGCGAGACGACGGTCTCGACCTTTCAGGTGGAATTCCTTATTTTTTCTGTACAAAAACCTTCCTACTCTTAATATGGGGCCTATTAGTCTATCCTAGGGACTTTTTAGGACTTGCCCATCTTCGAATTGGAGGTCTTTCACTCTTTATTTTGAGACCAAACAAGATTTGGGGTTTACAATTATCACTTAGGATAATCGATTATTACAACAATAAAATTGTTTTCAGGAAAAGCTCTCTGTGATAATCGATTATCACTAAGGATAATCGATTATCACAGGCAAATAATAGATTATTTGGCCAGATAATCGATTATCCTGGTCCAGTTTTGTTCCTCTGCGAAAATGGCTCTGGAATAATCGATTATCACTCAGGATAATCGATTATTTACGTCTGTTATGTGTTTTGAAATTCAAATTTGGACCAATTTACAAAAACCCTATTCCCAATTCTTCTATTTTCGAAAATCACCATTTCGTAGACCCTATTCTCTCTACTTAAGGTTCTCTAAGGCTCTCTGCAAATTAAGAAACCTTTTTCATACAAAAGTTAAAGAGTTGTGACTGCGAGAACTTTCTGTAGGGAATAAAAAGGGGCTTTTAAAAACCTAGTGTGGACTAGAAGCGATAAGAATCACTGAGTGGGTTTCTTGGTGGATTGTGTGTTGTGCCGTCTCTAGGAATAATCCTCTGTTTGAGTGATTAGCAACTGGACGTAGGGTCTTTTGATCCGAACCAGTATAAATCATCTGTGTAATACTCTATCCTTGATCTATTTACTTTACACAACAATTTAATTGGTGAAATTTGGAGAAAATTTTTAAAACCCTAATTTTTGTTAAGAAACCAATTCACCCCCTCTCTTGGTTTTTGTCCGGAAACACAAACATTCCGCTGCGCGATTCTAACAAGTGGTATTAGAGCTTGCTTTGATAGTCATTCAATTTTTTCGAAAATGGCCGGACAAAATCAAACGTTTGCCGATGGTGCTTCTATCAATATACCCTCACTTTTTGCGAGTCAAAATTATCCTTTCTAGAAAGTTAGAATGCAAATATTTTTAGAGTCTGTTGATAGAGGTGTTTGGGACGCAATTTCAAACGGTCCTTTTATTCCTAAAATTTCTGAAAACGGAGTAGAAATTTCAAAACCATTTTCTAGATGGACGGCGGAGGAAAACATAAAAGCCCAATATGATGTTAGGACTAGAAATATAATTTCATCTGCATTAACCCTTGATGAGTTTTACAGGATCTCCGTTTGTAAAAGTGCTCAAGAGATGTGGGAAATGTTAAGAGTGACCCACGAAGGGACCGACGACATTAAGAGAGCACGAAAAAATTCACTAATCCAAGAATATGAGATGTTCCGAATGCAACAAGGAGAAACGATTTTTGACGTTCAAAAGCGTTTCACACATATTGTGAACCATCTCACCTGATTAGGTAAAATTTTTTATGTTGATGAATTAAACGTAAAAATTTTGAAATCTTTGGATAGGAAATGACAACCTAAGGTGACGACCATCACGGAGTCACAAAACCTTGCCACAATGTCTATGGCGGCGCTCTTTGGAAAATTGAGAGAGCATGAGCTTGAACTAGGAAGAATAAATGATGAAGAAGGTCAACACCAAAAGAGGAACCTAGCCTTCAAAACTGAAATTTCCAAAAGTAAGAGTAAAAAGGAAGAAGACTCGGAGAATGAAGAAGAAGAATTGAGTATTATGATAAAGAAATTTACCAAATTTATGAAATCCAAAGGGAAGCAACCCTTCAAAAGTAAGGGAAAGGTAAGAGAAAATACTTCCTCAAATATCAAATGTAATGGTTGTGGTGAAACAGGACATGTAAAAACCGAATGTCCAAACAAGAAGAATGAAGATAACAAAGGCAAGAAATTCTTCAAGAAGAAAGCCTACATCGCTTGGGACAATAGTGGTTCGGAGTCAAGTGATTCGGAAATAGAAGCTAACATTTGCTTGATGGAAAAAGACAATATATCTTCCGACTTTGAGGTTAGTGATTCTGACTCATCCTCAAGTGATGATGAAAATAACTTTGATGAATTACAAAATGCATATGAAGAATTATTTAATGCTTTTAAGGACTTGAAAAATGAATACAAAGCTGTGAAAAAGAGTTTGAATAGATCCGAAAAGGAGGTGGAGTCCTTAAAAATGAAAATTGTATGTTTAGAGGAAAAGGAAACCTTAGAAACGAAAATTGTATGTTTAGAAGAAAAAGATAATAAGAATATAGCATGTGCATCATGTAAAGAGTATGAATATGATATTGATATACTTAATCATTTGCTTGATAAAGATGAGAAGGAAATAAATGATAATAATAAGGATAAAGTTGCTATTGCTCAAAATAGAGAAAACCATCATGTTTCTTTGAAAAAGCCTAAAATTAAAAATAGAAGAGTATAGGTTGAAAAAGGAACTAAAACGTCAATAGTTAGAAATGTATGAAATTCTAAAACTACATCTAAAGCATGCTTTTATTGTATGAAACATGGTCATACCTCAAATAGATGTAAAATTAAGCATTTTGGTGTTCCTAAAGGAAAATATGTTTGAGTTTCTATAGTTAAATGATTTGTTTGTCTCTAACCCCAAGGACCCAAAAGTTATGGGGACCTTGTTGGCAAATTTTGGGTCATGTATATATATGATACATATTTAAATGTGTTAGGGTCATTATTTATTAAGCCAAATAATAAAGTGATCTGAATAAATTAAAGTTTTGGCTAAAGGCATATGTCATGAAAATATGATTGTGTAGAGACCATAGAGTAATTTCTAATTTGATGAGGGGCCAAATTGAAAATACTAAAACTTAAGTAATTAACCT